ACCAGTATGGGTGATCCCGATGTTATTGTGAGATCTCAATGTTTGTCATAATATTGGACGCAATATAGTAAAGATATGCGATCGGCATTTTTCTACGATCAGCTGGGTTTGTACTTGGCAACTGACACTGAACTGAGGCTTGAGTTAATAYTCTGGTTGTGCTTTTAGACTTGCGTTGAAGTGATTTGTTTCAAATGAGCCAGTGATCACACTGTGTACTTAACATTGCATGTAGGGGAAATGGAGAGTGATCACAACACAAGACTGTTTCTGTTTGTTTTTARGAGGAAAGCACGGAAAAAGACTTATAGACACTAATGTAAAAACTTGAAATAGAGAAAGATTTGAACTATATTCTTAAAGTAAACCTTATATAAATTTGTGACAAAGAAAACTGAGAGTGTAGTAGTACATTCATATATTGAATAGCAAAATGTATTGCATTGAAGCGAGCAGCATTGTTCAATGGTGTTTGAGTGCGGGCTGTTTTTTAAGCAATTAGAAAGACATTAAGACCCCTAATGACACAGAGCTTTTCACYATTGGTTTTTGTTCAGTCCGATGTGACCAGCTAGCTTTTTATTTTGTTCGAATTGCTTTAACTCTAATACTCTGAACCAATCATAGGATTACTGCAATTTAATGCAATATCCCAAGTGTTTTGATAGGACAATGGGTTGTAGAGATCATAATTAATGACTGGGTGAATGCTAAACTGAAAGCGGGAATACAAATCAGTTTTTTTTCTTCTTTTGAATGTTGAATATTTCTAAAGCATGTCAGTTGTCATAGTTCTTTTGTTTTGCTTACAGTAGTAGTTCATGCATCGGATAGAAGGTCTGTSACCTACTGAAATTAAACATCCAATTCTTTAAGTACCAATATTCTCAATTGACTTTTTCGCTAGAATTTTTGAAAAATTTGCTTAATTATTATAATAAAGACCTTAAATACCGTTAAACCCCTCACTAGTTAAAAGAAGAGATTGACAGTTCAGTGACTTTAGTGTCACTAGTCCAGATATGGACGGATATGAAACTATAAACGAATTAATTACTCTTTTAGGACTAAAATACTGTGCGTTTATTAATCGCCATACATGGCATGTCTTAGTTTCCATATTTACAGMAATTAGTTACAACAACTTTTTCACCTAAGTAAATAAGAGATAAGCTTTTCAAAAAATCCTATTTTTACAAATCGTCAAAAAAGATGAATCTCTTGATTGGGATTCACAGTTTGATTGACTTGTTCTGTTATATTTGTGAATGCTGATTTGTTGTCAGTTACAAAGTTTAGTATATGATATCTTTCTTGCAACGAGCGTACAATAATGTAATCGGGAAACATAGTTTGTTACCGACASCCCTATGAGTACTATAAGTCGCATTAGAAGCGCAACATACCCAATAAGAATACTACTCATTGGAAATATTTTGCAACTGACAAATGGACGAGTACTATTTACACTGAATTGACTTAAAGAATCTCCTGCAATCTTGCATTTGTTCGATGACGATTTTTTTTTTACTTGATCGATTCCAACGCAATGAGAACCGCTGTCCTTTAGTCATCACGTGAGTTGCAAGGCTTGCATTCACATGACTCGATTTTTGATATCGTTTTCGTTTCTTGACATTTGTTTCCTTTAAATTTGACAACGTAGGACTTAGCTGAGATYTTAGCATTACAACATTCACAAATCTTCTTGAAGTACTCTCCGCCATCTTGAGAAGGAATGATGGGAAAGGCAGACGAGGGACACGAWCCTACGCACTTGTTGATTCGTATTCTGATTGGCTGGCAAAGAGTTGGGTTAGAAGGACGAAATTTTTGCTTGTAGGAGCGTAACTTGCAAGAATATGGAAATGGTTTGCGGACGGCTCCTGCGTGCTCAATTACACTCACTGAGAAAATCAGGAAACCAAGCACAAAGATAAGAGATGTCTGAATGGCTACCATTGTAACTGTATATCTTTACCTGAAATGGATAAGAATACGTTAGTTAAATATATTCACATACCGGTCAGGTTAACTACGATCACGTGATTACTCTTGGCTAGAAGAGGGGGACCACTCTATCTTAAACATACAGAAGACATTGGATTGTTCTACTGACTGAATGCGCCCTGCGAGATTATTATTATTATGCTAATAGAGTAAATGATTGCCAAAACGATAAACATATGTGATTATAGAATTAAAAAGTGTTCATGGTTCATAGTGATGTTTTTTTCCTTTTTGCATACCGCTGTGTGTTTACTACAAAATACCGAAAACTACAATTATAACCGAACAGACTTGATTCAAAACTACCATATACTTCACATTCATAGACGTTGACATCATGAGTTAAGTGGGCGAGTGAGTTCATTACGTATTTAGCACACTTGATTCAGAGATGAATATATCCTTAATTGTCCAGGGATTATTTGACTCGGTTTGGCTTTAATGTGAGTGCGTCGTATTTGCACCTGACCTCACCCTTGTCACGACGTCTTCTTTCAAATCTAATGATCGTGATTTTCTTTGAATGCCTATCTTCAGTCATTTCATGATCTCTTGAGCAATCATTGTTTACTTTACTAAGCTACTATTACGTTGTTGTTGCTTGAAATATTGATAAATCGGCAGTAAATCCTGTCGTCATCATGCATATCATGAGTACATAAATGTCTCGTATAGCATCGATATATATATGATGTATAAATCAAACGCTTACTTTCACCTGATGACATTCGATATAAATAGCCAACCTTATCTTAAAATAGTTTATGAAGATCTCTTTTCACTTATTTCTCCACGAGATGTTTGAAAGTATTTGACGACTGACTAATGGCGTGAAAGTCTGCTTCTGAACTACGAGTGACCCTTCGATGACTGCTCTCAACATTTCGTAGCGATTAATCAAGAAAACAAAGGGCCCACTTAGAATAGAAATCACCACTCGTGACGAAAACAATCCCTAAACCAATAAAATTACTCGTACAAAGCCATGAACAATCAAAGTTTTTCTTCTCTATCGAACACTATTGTACTTTCATGTTGGATGTAATCGGCCTAAGAAACCGCAATCAACACGATAACCCCTCGATGGCGGAAGCCAATTCTGTTGTACACCTCTACTATACGACCACTGCTAAATATTCCAATYGTACAATTATTTCAAACGTTTGAAGCCAGAAAAAGGAGCAGGTTCAGAAATTCTCTTCCTCGGATACTTCTTCGTATAAGCCGAGTGCTTTTTGACTGACTGTGTACCTTGTGGACATTACACAAAGATCGCTATGCTATATTGTGTTTTGCACCAAAGTCAAAGAGGAATTTCTTTCCAGAAAAAAAGAAACACTAAACCACACTAAAACTTTTCAACGTGGTTTGTTCAAGCTTTACTAGCTATGCTCCAAGATAACTGTGAGTGCAGAAGTGCGTTACCGTCACCCAGTAATAYAAAATATATATAAACATTATTATTTTATCAGGACATTCTGCATGAACCAATGGCAGTCCYCAGTTATATTTGCAGGTTCAGTTGCTTCGGACAATCTGGCAACTCATTAAGTTAAGTGAAAAGCGTCTTATATCACTGTTCTTCGTACTCAAGGACTATACTCAATAGGACTTCCATTCGTTGCATTTTGCCGAAATGTCAACATCTGGACATGCTATCCTTTTTATCTTCGACTCTTGAAGATAGATTTATCGATCGAGGGAWCATGAGTTCCCTGTTCACTCTTCTAACAGTTTCTCGATAAGATGTTCATTCGTAAATAGTTATCTCGTCATATTCACCTGTAATGGCTCGCTTATATATAAAGAAATATATTGTAAATGTTTTGGGAGAAAATCGTTCCCAAACCAATCAAAAATTTTCCCACGTCTCTTGTTTGTGGCTGTATGACATTTAGGCGTTCCTACCATCTTCCAAAGTATATTGCGTTCARCAGCGGCTTCATCTGAYATGAAAGCGATTTCGAGCTAAATATGGGAAGGGAAAATGCTGCCGAATTTATGACTCAGAGCTTGCCGAGGAAGAAGATTTCTTTAAAAATGTTATCGTCATCATCCAATGATTAAATCCAGTGTTCAGGCATAATCAATTCCGTTATTTAAGACACCAAACGGCTGAATGGAAAGTAGCAATAAAATCATGATTGAATCTATAACCGCCGGCGGTCAATAACACATGAATAGGAGCTTCATTTCAACTTCACATCGTACTAGCTACCGGAACTGTCTTTGTCGGCTATATGGGTATTGCCGACTCATGAATGAAACATTGCAATGAAAATATCATAACATATACAAAGACAGTSAGTGAAGTCAGTAAACAGTTTAGTACAATAGGGCACGAGATTTTATATGGCTAACCCTTTGCTTCCTCGTGGTCACATTGAGGGGGAAACGAAGGAAACCTGATTTAAATGAATTAGTCCTAAAGTAACAAAGCTCTTTGAACACTCCCCATCCGCATAAATAGTGCTAATGCAACTGCGAGAAGTCAGGTACCAGTTTTGTTATAATAGTGACAGATATAGACTTATATGAATAGACTTATAGGACAGGAAGAATGCTTTCAAATTATTCCATATAATTGGTTTGTATACAAAACGTCCTAACCCCGAGTTCATAAAGTGATTACTAAAAGATAAAAGGTCTTACTATAGGCGATGTTTACAGTATTGCAAGTGTATTTTGTTTGGTTCATTGTAAACATTCTTGAATCGAACATTTCTCATTAGTATTTTCCTAGTTTGCGGTAARTTTCGTTTTGATCTTTCAAAGTACTCTACAGTGTGTTAAAGTGAGCGAAGAAAACTCGTCGACGAGTCTCACAGTAAGCTACTTACCTCTGTTACACAGATATTGGAGATGGAAAAGGGGGTCTGTTCTTTAGTACAATAGTTTAGAAGACAAGCGTTGTCTTTAGATACTGAGTAAACCTTAATAGTGGAGCTCCAAGTCAATATTGCAAAAGATACAGATCTTTCCATAAAGCGGACATGACTCGCTAGGTGGTTGAAGGTACTTTTCTCCAGCGTAAAAGGCTTTTTATATTGTCGTTTCCGCTGATTCTCGCCCACGTAGGCAGCGAAAAGCATTGCGCTTTTATCTTAGACAAGCTTGAAATAAATCCCTGATGCGAGGGTTTTTGATACATTGTATAGTACAAATACACTTATTTAAAAAACGAAACATTTTTGTAGATTACATTAACAGAAGATGAGATCTCCTAGTCAACACTTTTCCTCTCCCTATACTATAGTTAACAAAATAAACTTCGTCGGGTTTTTTGATGATCTAGCTAAAAAAAGAAAGACGAAGCCAGCAATGTATATTACTGCGAATATAACCCCTGCTTTAAACGTTGCAGTCTACAAGTGCTCAAAACGCGATAGGACGGGTTATCGCCGCGGACGACATGCGATCTGATTAGCATGACGTTTTTCACTGAATGATAGACTTACTTGATGCGTGGGATTGCAAATTAGTAAGGAATATTCGTTTTTWATAAAGTTCATAAGTATCGATGTTTCTGAGTTGACTAAAAACACGTTCAGATGGAACTATGCCGAAAATATGCCATCCGTTTCATGCCGAGGTAACCCATTGATAACTACCTCGAGATATCCTTCGATTTGCAATGATTATTCAGCTAATCAGTCAATATAATACAGCATTGTATACAGATACAAAATAATGACAGTCCAACATGTAAAGTACAGACCGCTGTAGTAACGACAAACAGAATTCAATGACTTACTTTACCAAGATATCAATTCTATCTGGTAACCTCCAGCCCTTTGTGGTGCAGCTTTGAGCGAGAATGTAGACGGATAAAATTAGCATCAAACTACCCTCCACCTTACAGCTCATCCGGCACAAACCTCAAAATAGCGATTGTCTAGCTCCTTGATCGCAGATTGCTGTGCTTATCGGTAATTCATTGCAGCGGCCGGCAAAGGGTCGTCATCTAGATTTTATCAGATCGCTTGTGACTTTTCTCATCCTCTTAAATAAACTATTGTATCAATACAACACATGTTTTGGATATTTCCTCAATTTGATGATGGTATAGAGTTTTAATGAGTGCCACCGAGAAAACCGGTATTTTTTTCCATTTTTTTCAAAATTTGTGTGCAGTAGGAAAGCAGAAAATGCACAGGAAACAAATAAATGAACAAGCATGAAATAATAAACGATGTTTACATGTTCGTCAAGTGTGAGACCACAATCAAAACCAAACTTTAGGAAAAACACATGAAATAGGAAGACAAACAACAGCTGAAAGCACGTCACATGATCTACGTCCCATTAGTTTGTGTGGCAATAACASCAGAGGAATGATTTCCTCGCTCACTTGGAACAATGTCAGGAGCAAAGTGAACATTACATGCATTTGTTCCGGTTCACTAAAATAACCCTTCACAGAAAGCCGACRTGTGATAGACTACGTGATGCTTTTATAAAGATGAAAAAAAGAAGCTCTGAAAATAATGATAATTTATTAAGATGTCTACAAAAAGCTGGCCATAAAAAATCCTGATATTATAACAGAAACACAAAAATAAGAGTTGTAATGAACAAATAAGGCAACAAGGGAGAAAACACATCAGCTCTTTCTCTCAAAACCAACGCCCTTTCATCCTCAAAAACAAACACACACACACGTAAAAAGTCGAAATGGAGACATGAAACCCAAGGAAAATGATCCATATAGCAATACTTGACAAGCAAACATGCCTCGATATGTCTGCAATGACAACAGTGTCAAAGATGAATCGTTCTTAATCCTTTTTTTTAGGAAGCGGAAATTTCAATTCAGACTTTTGACTATAGTTTCTGTCATTTGTAAGTCTTACAAATCAAATACCTGTGATTTAACTATCCATAACCACTCGTCACTTAGTGTCATCAATCTCAAGTGCGCATGCGAAAAGTAGACTATCGCCATACGCCCTCTTATTAGCTGACCAGAAGACTTTTATTTTCAGTACAGGGAAGGAACAACCTCCCTTTACGTCTTTCAAACAACGGCAAATCTACTGGAAGCGTCGATATGAGCGAATTGTAATTAAGCTAATAACATGGTACCGGACGGGCCTTAGGCAAAACGGCTTAAAAAAGGTTAATGAATTATCAGAGATCTAAAACTATAATGCTAAGGAATCAATTATATATTTTAAACAGCACAAATCCGTCGTTCCTGCAATAACTTKCTTTAATTACATGTGTTGAATACAACAACAAATCGATGTTAAAGACACCATTTCACATTTGTCTCGTCGCATATCTACACATATAGAATTCGACGTTTTTGAAGTCTGAATTATGTTTAATAATCCACAGTTGAAATCTGTCAATGCATTATAATTATTGCAAGTCCCAATAAAGCTAAATRATAAATACTTACATGGGTAAAAYGGCCGATGTCTCTTGCGGGTCCAAAATAGTAAGCTATTGCAAAACGAGTCTGTTTTCGCACACTTTATCAGTTAATGAAGTAATTACGMGGCTTTTAAATTGTCAAAAGTAACCTCTTTGGTCTTAAGCACAGGAAATGACCGGCTTGTCTTACGACTAAAAATGACGTCAAGACATTGCAACAAAACACTGCATTTGTATTGGCTTACATGAATTAAGACACCAGTGTAAGAASTGATTGTCATCGCGGGGGATAAAGCGAAGAGAGTGTTCCCTTCCTTTYATTCAACATTTTGTATCAGTATCCAGCGTATTGATAACACCTGAACAATCAAGGAACTACTACGTKATAGCTCAAAATGTATCATGATATTTTAATACAAGTACGTATTCTCTGCGAGTCATGGCAAGGTCGTTTCATATATAATGTATATTTAAAGGTGCTAGGTCTGTAAGTTTAGTACTTGTATGCCAAATAGGTTAGGGACCATTCGAAGCGTATTCAGTTGAGCTGTTAAAGACGCCCCAACAGTTTTGCATGAAGACATTTCTTCCTCTGCTTTTTCCAGAGTTCCCTGCAATAAAATACACGACTTAGCCTTGAAAATATCATTGATATACCCTCACAATACASATAATACCTTGAGTTCCTCATACTGTTTAGCTAGAACAACATTCTGTTCTTGCGATGAAAGTATTGACTTTCTAAGTTCTCGGATTTCTAGTTCTCGGTCTAAAACACAATCAAAATTATCATTATTATTTAACCATTTAACTTTTGTCTTCACAACAAATTCAGTATTTGATGGCACAATTGAAAGTCTGCCATACGTACTTAGATTTTGTTCCAAGAAGGTTTCAGTAAACTGTGGTATACTAAGAAAGGACTGACATGCTGTTGACCCTGGTGAATTTGCAACTGTGGATGGTATGTTTGGGTAACTATGAGACACCTTTGCACAGGCCTCAGCCTCTCTTTCAAATTCACAAGTTAGCATTTGCAGATGTTGTCGRCCATACATGTGTTCTTTTTTGTTGTGAAGTGAGCTGAAGTGCTGGTTGCATGTTTTACAATATAAACCATTAGACTCTGCATCCTAGACAGACGGTTGGATAAAGCAGATAGTTGAAACACTTGTTAATATGTTGTTTCAGAGTTACAGTGCAARTTGCAAAGCTGTGACCACCTAGAAATATATTTGGCATTTTAATTGTTCATTAACCCATCAGAAGAGTAGGATAAGCTATCAGCCAATTGCATTTTCACAAATTCAAACTTGATCAAAGCTTCAGTTATTAATAAAAAAACTCTGTCACCAAAAACTGGCTGATAAATGCTCACAAAATATTACTATTATATTGCTCAGAGTAAACACAAATTAATTTAATTCTAACCTTAACATCTATTTCACACCGACCTGCTCCCAGTCTGGCCTTGTAGCTCAGCTGGTAGAGCATCGGTGTACAATCCGAAGGTCGTGGGTTCGAATCCCAGCGAGGTCGGAAATTAATTTTTCCGAATTTATTCCTAAGGGACTTCTCCCAGAATTGCCTCCTTCTAAGCACTATAACTTTCTTTCATTTCTATATCGTGTTTATCATAGTGCCATGCGGTCTTCATATTCATAATTTAATTCTATCCTGCTCAGTGCCAGCTAAAGTCATTTAAAAAAAATCCTGAAATAATTCATAATGGCGACAGCTTTGGGATTTGCACTGTAGCTTCTCTTGTTTTACAACACAAACAAATTATTAAAGATTACCTCATCTGCTTGAGGAACCAATAAACTGTTTTCCATTTCCCCAGATTCACCAACTATACAACAATCAAGACAATATATCAATAGTTAACAATGTAAAAGACTGTTAAACTGCATACCTTCAGACTGCTTTATTCTTTTCGCTTGTTGTCTTTTGACAAAGGCTTGGTATTTTTCAGATTGCTGGTAAGCTTTAAGCTCTTCAATGTATCTTTTCTTGTCATTTTCAGCTTCATCAAGAAATTTCTTTAAGACACAAATGAAAAAATGGCAGAATAAAAAAATCACAGGCAAGCATGAAAAAAAAATGAATGGAATGTAAAAACTAACCTGCTTTTCTTCGTGGCTTAGAATGGTGTTCCATTCAACACCAAGCATTTTAGTTATTTCAGGAAAAGACAAATGAGGGTGCAACTGCTTCAGTTCCTCACGACGACTATTCAGAAACCTAACGTACCTATTTATGTAAATTGATTTGTCAGAAATAATTTTCTCATTGATTTCAGCAGATTGATATTCTTATTTTGTCAGAAGCATTTGACATATCTATTCATGATTCTTTTCAGGTTTACCCAGTAACAGGTGCTTTAGGTTTATTGAGGTCCTGTATTTCTTTTTTTCTTTTCTTTCCTTTTGGCCATCCACCTTTCCTTTTGRTGGTCTACAAAAACAAACACTTTATAAGTAACATTGAATAAGAAAATGATGAGAACACAAAACAGAATATAACGCAGTATATATCATATTATGAGCCAAAAAATATTCACAACAAGAGAATAGGTTACCTTTGTTAGGTGTTGCTCTTGATGTATTTCATCTTGATGAGTATTGTTATCAGCACATACATTCATGTGTATGTCATCGACATTGACATCACTAACGGTTTGGTCTTGTGGCACTGTTTGGACCACTTCAAAGATGGAACTTTCTGGTACATTTAGCACTGTTACTTGGGTACTAGACAACAGGTTATCTGTAATATATTWCAATATTCAAACTGAACTGGGTACTAAGAACAAACACTCTAGAAATGTGCATTACCTTGCCCAGCTGCTGTGACTAAGCTGGTTGTGCCATCATATGGTACAACATCAACWGGACGAAACTGAACATTCCTAGAAATACAACAACTTTGTCATCTCAATTACAYAGAGTTCACTGGTTGGTATCCCTGTGTACATGGTATATCCTRGATATGATACTACGCGTGTGTAACAAAAACCCTACYCGCAATTCATGTAACTGTACTTTCTTATACGTGCATGAATTTGGAAATCCTGGAAGCGCTCTGCACAGGGATACATACAAGGCGATATCTAAACGTTATATACCTTGTCATACCGCCATCTTGAGAGGCTGTTGATTCACTGAAGCAAGATACGGGCGTAACACTATCGAAGCTAGCTTTCCCTTGCACTGTCGTTTGCCCTGTTTCAAAATGTCCTATCGTAAATGCAGTTAATCCCGAAACACTGACAGAACAATCATTTTGATCGGATTCCATCTTTCCCTAAATATTCTCTGGTGTTTGCGATCGCGATGGCAGAGTAMGCAATACTTGATAYCAGCGGTTTTTTCAATTATAACAGATATACTTCATGTGGCTTTGATATTGTATCCCAAAAGCTGAAATCTACACAGATGTGACCACAGATGTCAATTTTGATATAATTTAAATATATTTTAAACTCTCTACTCTTCCAATCATGACGTTAACAGATCCTAAACTTGCTAAGAAGATCGACGAAGTCATCGCCGAAATTAAAAGCGCAAAATCTGACGAAGAAGTGAACAGTTTGGTCAAGTCTTATTTAGATGCTATGAGCAATGAATCGACAAAAATTCCCGACTTTGATGATAATCTAGAGTGGCTTAACTGCAACAATCCCCTATCTTTCAAAGACCAGCTGCGTGGCAAGYTATGTGTACTTGATTTCTTTACGTATTGCTGCATCAACTGCATGCATATTCTTCCAGATTTAGAATGTTTAGAACACAAACATTCTGTAGAAGATGGAGTGATGATAGTTGGTGTCCACTCGGCAAAGTTCGACAACGAAAAAGTGTCTGCAAACATTTTAAGTGCAATCATTCGATATAATATAGAGCATGTTGTAGTAAATGATTCTGAAGCAAAGATGTGGCATTCTTTAGGAGTTGCATGTTGGCCTACTTTGGTAGTTGTTGGACCTTCAGGAGAGATATTGCTGTCACTTGTRGGGGAGGGGCACAGGGACATTTTGCTGCAATTTATTGGGTCAGCATTGCAATATTACTGTTCTAAAGGTATAAATGTCATAACATAGTGTTAAGCGATTGATAGGTAGTTGTTCTTTCTCATTCTCTGACACCTTCCTATTTGCTTTGTATTTTAATTTTTTTGGTTTTGCTTTTTCAGTGTTCATCCATTCATTTTTATCTTTTTCCATTCACCTTATTTCATCCTTCTATCTCCAACCGTTAATGAACTGGTTCAGTCTCCCAGTTTCAAACTGAAAAGAAAACGAAAAACTTTTTAAAAACATTAAATTCTTGTTGCCAATGACAGAAATAGATCCCTTTTATGATGGCCATAACTGAGACAAGGAACTTTTAATGAAATGTTTTTAYTCTATCTGATGTTGGTTTTTGAAGGTCAAATTAGTCATCACAAGATTGAAACATCCCTAGCCAAAGATGAAATTCCTAAAACTAGTCTATCATTTCCTGGAAAAATTTGCACTGATGAATCTGGTAAAAGATTGGTTGTCTCAGATACTGGACACCATAGGATCCTTGTCCTCAGCAAAGAGGGTGTTACCCAGAATGTGATTGGAGGAAAAGCTAGTGGATTTAAAGATGGCAGTTTTCATGAAGCACTTTTTCATTCACCACAAGGTGTTGTTATAAAAGGTGAAATGATCTATGTTGCAGACACTGAAAATCATGCAGTCAGAAAGGTAATCTTTTTTGCAGAACTCAATTGTTTTCGGTCCCATTTGTGGCCCTTTTCTACCGTTTAAAAGTATTCATGTTAGCCATTATGATAATGTTAACAATTGTCAATACTGTTTGCAAACTCTAGATTGATTTGGAAGATGGTACAGTGAGTACTATTGCTGGAACAGGACTTCAAGGTATTGACAAGGAGGGTGGCTCTCAAGGTCAASAGCAGTGTATAAGTTCACCATGGGACATTGTYATTGGTCCCCCTCCAGGTAAATAAAATGATATTTTTGTGGCAGCTTTTGTATATGAATAAACAAAATATTTTRTTTGTCACAATGTCCAGTATAGTACCTGGTCTTATATACCTACTTTAAAAAAATGTTGTCAGGGAGAACATCAATTGTGGAAGGGAGATTGCATTAACATCGGCACTACAGTTACACTGACTGACATACAAAGTTTCACTTGTTGGGTTCAAYTTTCATGAAAACTGATAGAACCAATTACAGCATAAATCAGTTATTATTTCCTATTGATAAGCAAAACCCATTGATCATTTTGGTAATGCCATAAACATTTGACAATTGCCAAGTGCCACATCTTTTGAATTTCACATTAAGTTTTTCTTGACATGCAATACTTCGTGCTCAGGTTCAAAAGGTGAAAGCAACAATGAAAGTGTTTTGTATATTGCAATGGCTGGCACACATCAGATATGGGCCCTTTACTTGAAAGATGACTCTTGGCTCAAGGGAGGGTGAGGATACTATTGCATGTATTGTGTGAATTTATATAAATTATGCATTATTTCMCGAYGAAGACGTCGATTCAATGCATCCTTCATATGATTCCGGAAATGTGTGAATTCGGAAWTGACGATCACAAATCGCATCCACGCTATCCAGCGTTTTCGGTAGTCCAATCCGGACARCATAAGACTGGAAATGTTTGAARACGCTSYGAGCACGGAGATGTATCGTAATTTTCTGGAAAAGCTGATAAACTCTGATAACAATATATTACCGTTTATTAGGCTGATATCTGTATTTTATCCTGACAAGTATGGTTAATGAGTATAATGATTAGAAAACACTCCAAAATACGCGTGGACGCACAAAATGTGRAATAGYTTCCTAACTAAATTAGTGTGAAATCCTTTGTCTTCTGTTGTTACATAATGAATGCACTCTATTGTATAATCAACACTTCGAGAAGCGTTTTTGTTCACGGATWAATAAGTATGCGCGCACTCGAGTACATTCCTCAGTTTCTACCTCTTCATTCACTAGCTCKCATAAAGCTGGCACYTGCATTCGTTTCGCGGGAAGTGGCGAAGAAGCAAACCGTAACAACAGTTATCCACACAAATCCTCATTTGCACAGCCGTCAGGTTTGGCTTTGGCGTACTTCAAATCATCATGGACTTTATTTCTAGCTGACAGTGAAAGTAGTAGCATTCGCTCGTTGGATATTGCAACTGGAGCGACTAAAGCAGTGGTTGGTGCTGATAGAGATCCTAATGTGAGTAATAGAATTAGTTTACTAATACCTTTAGGACTTGGGGATTTTTTAAAAAAAAAAACAACGAAACATTTTCAGGTTTCTTTTTAACCAACGCTTTTCATCTGAAGCAATGAATACATTGAGTGAAACATGTGCGTGTTAATTACACTGCAATGGTTTTTTTTCAGTACCAAAAACACTCAAATGGCTTTTTAACTTTCACCCAAATAACACTCAAATGGCTTTTTCGTACTTTTACCCAAATAAAAGATATATATAAATTATATAAATGATGTTTATAAGATCTCAACATAAATTGCGAATACTCATTCTCCAATGCTATGTGTTACCTTCATTTAGTATTCCTTCGGAAAAAGTTCGGAAAAAGTGCTAGATTTCATATCAATTTTATTATCTTCTTTATTACAAATACCTATTTTGTTTCCACGGGATATCGATGAACCAAAACAAYCACGAGGTCTCGTAAACTGAGAGGGTTTCTAACCCTAAATGGTTTGTTACCGCAGAGCAAGCAAGAACTTGAATAAGGAGTGTCAGTAAAAAGCAAGTTGCGAGTACTTTTTCATTCGGTTAATCAGTTCAAGGAACATTTCTAGGGAAACCTCTTTTGTGTTGTAGGAGGCAAAAAATTGGTAAATTGTATAGTGCATTATATCTTTAGTGTTTAAACCAATCTTTGGCGTTTAATTATTATCTGTAATATATTTTTGGAAGAATCTGTTCGCGTTTGGAGACATGGATGGGAAAGGAGTGGACGTAAAACTTCAGCATCCTCTCGGTGTTACTTGGAACAAGTACAGYCAGGAACTCTTTGTTGCTGATTCGTATAACCATAAGGTAGGTAGCGGACAAYGCACATATCGCAAGTATATTAAACCGAGAAATAATAGTCAATAGCAGACGTTATTTTGATCCTTCKTTTCAACTAGAGTATTTCTCACTAGCAGTTAGCTAGTGTTCCATGAGTTTAATGTAATGACTCTGTTCAGGTAGGGAGGACCAACTTAATAAATGAAACAAATAGTACTTATTTGCTACCAAGTAGTGTTCTTTGACAATAGAAAACACAGAAATTAGCATTATAAGTTATTTTTTTTGTACTTTTTTAAGTTTCACAGATTAAGGTCGTCGGCTCTTGAACTATTTCACGTATTAGGTGCGCTTGCTCTATTTGTATGATGTAGTATTTGTGTGATGAAGTTTTTTTCTTTTTCCAGATAAAGAAAGTTAATCCTCTGGATAAGACTTGTACCACACTACTCGGTAGCGGTCAACCCAGCCCAGAGATTTTAGACGAGCCTGGYGGGTTGTGCATCAGTCCATGTGGACAGCGGTTATACGTAGCAGATACTAACAACGGTGTCATTAGAAGCATTGAGTTAGMAAATTCACAAATGACACAGGTATTATTCTCCGTGTTACATTATAATATTTGTCTGTTGGAGAATTCAGTTACAATTCGATTATCACTTAACCGTCAACCATTKTAMTGCTTCAGATCACCTTTGTTGATGTGGAAAGTCGTAYGAACACTCTTAAGAAACCAAGAGAGCAGACAGATGCAGGATCCGTCACGCAACRAKTAGTGAAACGTATTACATCAACGAAAACGCCTGTCACACAACAYGATRCAGTCAGCGTCACRTCATATGAAGGTCTTGAAGTGACGTTAAACATAACTATGGGACATGAATGTAAACTGAATGAAGATGYGGTTAGTAAATGGCAGGTTTCTTGGATCGAAACGGGAAATTTACAATCRCTACAGGATCAAAGTTGTTTCACACCGCCTTCAGGAGTTTTCAAGAATGATTTGTTATCAGCAGTAACTAGAGTTGCCTGGCCCGATGCTGCTTTGAAGATAGTCAAGCTACAGGTAGGTAATAATAGAAAGAGAAGAAGTACACGTAAAAACCTAAATATTTCAAAATTTTAATAAATAATAAACTATCGTAGGTCGAGGCGGTGTTCTACTATTGTGAGCCAAGTGGAACCTGTCGTATGGAGGGACTGGTATATCATATACCACTGACTGCAGGGAACACTGAGGGGCAAGATTCATTGGTGTTAAATCATACGTTATATGAATGAGCAAAATGGGAACCTCTGCTCTCAGGGTACACTCCAGGATAGAACTAGTTCACTGGTGCTAAATCATACGTTGTATAAATGAGCCGGGAACCTTCCGTAGCGAGAGACTTCCGAATATATCACATATCACTGATCGTCAGGAACCCTCCGGGACAGCATTTCCAGGTGCTAAATCATACGTTACACAAATGAGACTTGTCCGTCACCTTCATATTTTACTGATTGCAAAGAAAGTAGAATTAAAATAATGTGATATTAACCTCTCAGTTTTGTAGTAAACAGGTTATCCATAGACTTTTGTATGCTAATTTCTATTGCTAATACAAATATTCTGAATCATATGCGTTCGCAAATGTTGCATGGATGACATGATTTCAAYAGTTTAGRTCCGATGCTGGATGGAAGAATTAGGGGACTAYTTCTTGAGGACTTGATTTTTTTATGCTTTGTTTGTTATTCTGTTTTCGACTCGGGAGAACTGTAACTAAAACATGCGCTATGAAGCCAGTTTTCCATGGACTTAAGTCTGATTCATCGGTARATCGTCACGGCGTAAAAGCATGGAATGGGGAGMAGGAAGTGAAGAGAAAAAGAAAATAAATGAWGAAAAAGGAAAAGCAGAAAGAAATGCAATCTCGAGCTCAAAGTAGAAAGACAGTCGATAGCAGGCTTTGAATGTTTTAATGATACTAATTACTTTCAATATTGCCATTCTTTTTCACTTTACTTTTTTGTCTGTTAGTATTGCTTGCCAGGATTGGCACATGCAGTTTTACATTAGTGTTATTTCTGTTTGCAATCACAATCTAAGTACGAACGTTGAAAAACAATATTTTGTTTGTGCACCAAATTTATTTTTAAAAGCCATATTGGAATACAGTTTACACAATTCCTTAGTTTTTATGTTTATTTTTAATGTCAATCTTTCTTTTCATTTCGAATTCTTTAAAATAAATGTTGGCACAGACAATAGTTTTGAACGAGTTGTGACTCCTTGGTGATATTATAGAGAGTCGGCCACCAATGTACTGTTTGCATTACTCTTGATCGTGTATCCCTATGTCTGCTTTCTTCAAATGCATTCTCAAAGGGCATGTTACTTTCAGATACARAGTATGTTTTCCATCATTTCTGATGTTTCTGATTTAGTCCCTTGTGAAGATTAATGTTGTTTAATCGCGACCCCAAGMAAAGGAGTCCTAGTTTCAATTCTAGATCGGCTTAGACTCATTATTATGAGAATAATGATTAATATTTTAATTTAGGTAACAGTACGTCGGCATATAACCACATGCATGAGCCGGTCAACACTTGTTGCAAATATATGACTGCCGTTTGTCCGATTTACATGTCGGTGTTAAATGTATTAAATAAACCATAGTTAAATATGAGGTAACTATAGATATCAGCTATCTCAGTAAAACGTGCACGCCTGATGAGCCAATCAGAACAGCCGAGGAATATATCCTTTTTAGAGTGAATATTTATCAGTGTGGATAATTACTGCAAAACRTCTTTGGTCTAAAATGTTCACTTTATAAAACAAACGAGGGGCAACTTCTGGGAGAAAATAAAAGTGAGTATGTTGAAAGTTCTTGTCAAAGGTGCTACCAATCTCCCCGATGTGGACACATTTGGTGGTAAGAGCGATCCATATGCCATCGTCAGCTTTAGAGGTAATGGTATACCTTCCGTTATATCATCAATAATCTGAGCTTCAAAGATTGTTTGTAGATGTGTATCCTTTATTGTTTTTGGTATTATTGTTTTTGTTGTTGTTGTTCTTGTTGTTAATCTTGTGTGTGATCCAGTTGTATATTTCCTGTGATTTGTTCCTAGAAACCCTGCCTTGAAATCCCAACAGAAATCCCAAAGATATTACACTTTTCTTGTCACAGGCCTTAGCATCGTGTCCCATGTGAAGCTTTGATAAAGCTAAATTTTGTATGGGAGTTAGATACCATATAAGTCCATATAAGCAAATTATTTATCAGTGTTAAGACTAGTGTATATATCTCTAGTTATTTGTAGATATATGAGTAGATATRAGCAGGTAGGAATTAAGAGGTAGAAAGTTGCTAGACGATGCATGGGAAACAGCTGGAACCAATCAAAACACCAACTTATCAGGGAAATTGCTTTTTCCGAAGCCTCTGTACCAGCAATTGAGTTCCGAATTATTTCTTGTTATTTGTTAGTATTTTTTCTTAGGGGTAAAAATTAATTCATGCTTTGTGGGTAATGTATATTAATAAACCTTTTAATGTTAAAGCATTTTCCTTCGTGTTACATGCATGGTATATTAATCTAGTTCCTCATCACTTTACATAACTTTATTTGGCAATCATTTCACGGCAGCATTGAGTGAATATAWTACCTTAAATCTCTAGTATCAAAGTTAATCTGTGTTCAGTGTAGGCTCTAAGTAGCTATTAGAAACGGACGTCTCCTGTGGGAATGTGTGTTCCAATGGAAACGAAAAGCAAACTTTGAAATATATGAATATGAATGRTATGGTCTTTTAGTGCCAAGTCTGTGCATTTAATTGCTTTTCTGAATTTAGTTTTTTATGTTCCCTTTTGTCATTTTTTCCAATATATAACAAGGTCAAGTCCCCTCGAGAAGGTTTGCTCTTGTTTCTTATTTATTTAAAACCCATTGATTTTGAAAGGAGAAGATTATTTTTTTTGACATTTTTTCCTTAGAGTTTTGTCTCGACTAAAAATTCCAAACCTAGTTGGCATTTTCTTATTTTCTGCTAACGGGATATGAGTTGATATTGTAGAGATGAATAGAGTACTAGATATCCATTGGWAGTGAATATGTTGATTGACAGGTTTGGACGAGAAGACTGAAGTCATTAAGGATGAATTGAATCCATCGTGGAATAAGGTAAACATTTAAAGTGTCCAATAATTTGACATTAATTGTTTAAAATAAGATTTTTGGTGAGATCATGTATCTTTTTTTGTTTTTGTTTTTATTTTTAGGACATTCAATTCGATTTGAACGGCAGCGCACTGTCATCGGACGATGAGCTGGTCGTGTCAATTAAAGACTGGGAACGAGTTCTTCATCATCGGTATGTAGTTCCATCCAAAGGTACCGCGTGACCATGTTGGCTGGAAAATTTACTTGAAAATAAAATCGTGATAAATGTCATTTGCTCTGCTCACCAGACTAGTGTTTGATGAGTGTGATGTGTACCTAGAGAGARSGYKWWG